AGTGGCACCAAATCTCGTATAAAGGGGGTCAAATGAGGTGTCTAAGACAAGGTTATGATTTGCTGGTTAGGATTATGCTGTCTATATGTGTGTATCAATTTCGTAGTTGAAGTTATGAATATTGGCTCTGTACTGTCTGTATTTCAAACTTATGCTATGCTTCTGGGAAACATCCCAGACAAACTGGTGTTAGCTCTGCCTAGCCTGCTTGATGGCCCATTAAGGACCATCAGCTACAATTGACCCATTGAGAGAAGGCAAATACGCCCTGTAACTCAGCAAAGTATGCAGGGACTGGCCCATGTGACTCCAGGCTCCATTTTGCTGTAATTTTCCACAGTAAGGACAAAGAGGTGTTCTTACACCTGGAAAAGACTATAAAAGGCTGATGCCTCATTTCCATCTTGTCTTCAATCCTGCTTCTTACCTCTGGAGGGACTTTGCTACAAACTGAAGCTCTGAACAAAGGACTGATGACCCATCCCAGCGGGGGATGTATTCCAGAGACTAGATTTTGAACCTGCAGTTTATTCTATCACTGCTACAAGCCTAAACCAAGAACTTTGCCATTACTGTATGTAATTGATTCCATTTAATCAATTCTAGCTCTCATCTCTATCTTTTTCCTTTTATGAATAAACCTTTAGATTCTAAAGGATTGGCAACAGCGTGACTTGATTTGTATATTGACCTGGTCTAGGGCTTGGTCCTATGGGATCAGGAGAACTTTTCTCTTTTACTGGGGTATTGGTTTTCAGAACCATTTGTCCCCATGACGAGGGGCACTGGTGGTGATACTGGGAAACTGGAGTGTCTAAGGGAATTGCTTGTGTGACTTGTGGTTAGCCAGTGGGGTGAGACCACTGGCTGGTTTGGTTTGCCTTAGAGGTGGAAAACCCCCAGCCTTGGGCTGTAACTGCCCTGTTTTAAGTGATTTGTCCTGAACTGGCACTCTCAGTTGGGTCCTGCCAGAACCGCATCGTTACGGGCCCAGGCGGGGATGGAGCTGCTCCCCACGGCTCGAGCGGGCAGTTGGCACAGGCCCCATCCATGCTCAGGTGGGGGGCAGGGAACAGGACGACTCCCCAGCAGTCTGGCACTTACCCCCATGCAAGCTGTGGAGAAGTGCTCACCCCAAGCACGCCCCACCCAGGTTGGACAGGGTCACCCCTCAGCTTCCCACCCTCGTTCAGTCCTTGGCCAGTCAGCTGTGGTCGCCCAGTGCCAAGGGGATGCTCCTCCTCAGAGACACGCTCCCTTCAAACGGCTTTCCCCAGCTGCGGGGCCAGATCCGAACCCAGGTCCGCAAGATGTGCCATCCTCTCGCCCCCGCTGGCACCTACCTGTGTCGGGGAAGAAGCTGTTGGCCAATTGCTGCTGTTGCTGCTGCATGACGAGCTGCTGGGGTTTCATGCCCATGGGGGTCGGCTGCACCCCAGGTATCTGCTTCTGCACCAGCTGCTGGTTCGGCTGTGGGGTCAGCGCCGGCTGGACGCCGTGCTGGGCCGCAAGGACGTGGGGCTGAGGCTGGGGCTGCGCCATCGCCATGTGTGGGGCCAGCACCTGGCCCTGCTGGGGTCCCACCACCCGCTGCTGCTGCGTCATTAGCTGTTGGGTGGGCACCAGGTTCTGCTGCCTGGCGATGAGGCCCAGCTGCAGCTGTTGCTGGGGCCCCACCAGGCGGGGAGCCTGCCCGTCCGGGGGCTGGGCCGGCCCTGCAGGGTGAGCCAGTACGGAGTGCTGCTGCTGTTGCTGCACAGTCTGGAGGTGCTGGGCACCCCCCGGCAGGTGGGCCGACATCTGCTGCTTCTTCTGCAGCTCCTTCTTCTCGTGCTCCAGCAGGTCCTCGATGAGCAGGGGCAGCTCGCTGGCCACCAGGGAGCTCTCCATCTTCTCCAGGTCGTCAGCCTGCGAGTGCTGGGCGTTGGCCAGGCCCAAGGCCCCTCCACCCAGCTCCAGCAGGGCAGGGCTCTGGCCGGGTGCCAGCCCGCGGCCCGGGGCGGCGTAGGGGCCCTTGTCTGAGCCAGAGGTGGCAGCTTGGCTGTTGTTAGGGAAGGGGGCTGTGCCGAGCCGCACGGGCCCCGCTCCGGCACTCAGCAGGTTCTGGCCAGACTTGAGGGTCAGGCCTAGGGAGGCAGCCATTTTCTCGGCCCCCTGGAGGGCCTCTGACTTGACGGGGACCGGGAGGCGGTCAGAGGCGCCAGTGTTGAACTGACAGGGGGATGTCTTCAGGCAGCCTTCCTCCAGCTTGGGCTGGACGCTGGACGGCAGGGAGGCCGGCTTGGCTTCCAGGATGCTGGCCTGGGCCTTGAAGGTTGGGTGGGGAGCCGGTGCCGTGCTGGAGGGGCAGGGGGCGGGCAGCAGCCCCTCCCTGGGGGGTGCCAGCTCCTTGGGCTCCCCGGGGCCCTTGGGGCAGGGCCCAGCCGGCTCCCTCTTGAGCAGGGCCTCGCGCTCGGCCTTCTCGTTGGCCGACTCCACTAGGCGCAGGTGCTCGTTGAAGATGTCCTTCTTGTCGCCTGTGTCCAGCTCGGGGTCGGTGTAGGCCAGCAGGTCGAACTCATCGCCGTTCAGCAGGTCGTCCAGGTGGGGGTCGTTGGTCTCCAGGTTGTCCAGGTTGCCCAGGTCGTCGTCCCCCTTGGCCACGTCCGGGTCCAGGCTCAGGTTGGCCAGGTCGTCGTCCTCCAGGTCCTTGTGGGAGTCGAAGTCGTCGTCCAGGTCAGGCTCCACCGGCACCTCGCACGGGAGCCGCCCACCCTCCAGCGCCAAGTGGCTCTTGCTGGGAGCTGGAGCCGGGACCGGAGCCAGTGGGGGCTCCATGGCGGGGCTGTCCTTGGGGCCGTCGGGACGCAGGCCGGAGCCGGAGGATGACAGAGGGCGGGGTGGGCCATGCTGCAGTTCCAGGCCACTGGGAGGCGGGGGCACCGGAGGGCCGCTTTTGGGAGGAGGCTGGTGGCTCCGCTCAGCCCCCTGCGGGGAAGTAGCGGAGGGCGGCAGAGGGGCCGGCAGCTTCTGGGGCTGCAGGACTGGGGCTGGCAGAGGCATGACGGAGGCACGCAGGGCCTGGCTGGAGCTCTCGTCGCCGGGCAAGAAGAAGCGTGGTCTGGCTGGGGGGCCCTGCTGGGCAAAGGGGGAGCCCATGCCCCCGGCTGCCCCCTTCTGGGCGTTGTGCCGCAGCTCAATGAATTGGGCCCCCACGGCGCCGGGCGAGGACGGGATCTGCTCGGCAGGGCCCGCCATGCGCCCAGCCAGGCCCCCCAGCGCCGGCCGGCTGAGCTCATGGCCAGGCGGCTGCTGGAAGCGGGCGGGGCCGGGGAGCCGCACGGCCGCCGCCTGCTGCTGCTGCCACATCTGCTGCTGCTGTGGGGAGGGCCCCTGGAACATGCCGCGTGGGAAGAAGGTCTGGGGGGCTCCCACCGACGGCCTGCAACAGACAGGGAGGGTCAGGGAGCGGCCCCTGCCTCGGGCGTCCCGGGAGGTGCAGCTCCTGGCCAGCACAGGGTGCCAGTGCCACCGTCCGCCGAGGGCAGAGCCGTAGCCAAGGAGCTCGCTTGCTCGCCCCCCGCAGGGGAAGGTCAGCAGCAGCTGGGGGTTCTGGAAGGGGACAC